TGTGCATGGGAAAAAAAAAAAAAAAAAAAAAAATGGGGGAACATTCATACCTTGTTGCACGCATGGGTGTAGATACGCAGGTGGGAAAAGTGAGAGTCAGATTTCCAAGGTGAACACAGGACTATATTTTTTAGCCCCACCCCCCCCCCTAGGGGTCATACTATGTGTGTGTATGCACTCTTACGGGGAATACAAATTGGCTGCCTACTTTTTTGCGTCGCACCTTCAGTGGGGTGAGCCCTCGAACTGGAGGGAAAGAATACTGTCATAGGGGGAAGTGAGCGCACCCAAATGAATTAACGCTTGGAGAGGAAAAGCAAACGAACTAGAACAGACAACTACGAGAGCATGTGCACACATGCATGCTCATAGCTGTGTGGACCCGGCGTAACAAAACACCTGTGCTTCGGTTCGAAATGTTTGCCCATATTGTTTTCCCAAATGGGGGGATAGCACGCACGTACAATTTGAACAGAACAAAAAAAAAAAAGCGAATGTGTGTAGGAGAGTGCGTGGGAAAGGGGGAAATTATAAACGTATAGTTACTGCACGTATGCTTCTACTCCTCAGAGGGATATGCGCGTGAACGACCCAGCGCACGTCAGAACAAACGTCAGAACGAACATCAGAACAAACGGTGGGGCACGCGGGCGATAGAACAACAAAGGCAACGTCTCCAAACGAGCTCCTCGTCTCGGATCCCCTTGCACACGTGCAGCTTTAAAAGGCCCACCCGTGTCGTTTTATAGAGTAGGGGGCAAAATGGGAAGCGCTAAGCTCCAAACATGAAATATGGCAACGCAGCGGAGCGACAAAACGGCGAACAAAAAAAATTAATCTAATGATAATTGCACCTTATACAAATTTGCAATTTTTGTGCATTACTAAAAAAAAATGCAGCATGCGTCATTTGGTGGCAGCACCGTGTACAACACGTGTAAAAATAAAAACAGAGATAAATAAAGTAGCAGTACCAAGCAGAACAACGCAGTGATGTGGCAGATGCGGCCGTAGCGCCAACCGAACTTAAGCTACACGAGTGGATGTGAGCGACATGAACGACATGAGCAAAACTTTAAATCTGTCAACTCTGCCCCAACGCGAAAAAGGAGAAACACGGGGCAAAAAAAAAACCTTTACACACTTCTTATGAAGAATTGATCTACTTCTACACCACTATTTTCCGTTTCTGGAGTAGGCCCACCCTGCGCGCACGCCGTTTGCAATTGTTCAATCCTTTATTCGCATACGTATGGCTGTTTTGGGTTGCCAGAAAAATGTGACTCCGCTGTGATAGTTTGCACGTGTGTGTGTTTGTATGTTTGTGTGTTTGTGTATTGATGTTCTTGTTTTGTGTTTATTCATTTGTATGTTCATTTGTGTGTATTTTTTTTTTTTTTTTTTTTTTTTTTT